ATATAAAACTGTGGGCGCTAGTGGACCGGTGGTAATGTCACCACTTATCACCCTGGGGAACGTGTGCTCGACTCCAACCATAACCGCCTGTCTTTCCCCATTATCTTTGTTGTATGGCAGCTCATTGATTGGTCGCTTCCCCCGTTCTGAACATTGTACCTTTGTATACTCAATAAAAGGAAGTATAAAGGAGAAAAGGACACTAGACATGAGGCAATTAGAATAAACTAAGTTCACTTTAAGATGGTGTGCGCATTAACGGATATACAAAAATCACCCGATTTGTGACGCATTAGAATTCGATTTCACTTTCTAAAATATCATGAATTATTCGTAACCCAGTGTCCGTGAATGCATATAAATATTTGTAAGTTTCAAAACTGATTTTAATAAAATTTCTAATCGCTGTTTATTTATTTATCATCAACTTTTGTGATTATTCGCATATATTTATAGCATGCGCTTACAATAAATAATAATATAATGTATTTTATACAAAACGATTGATTGGCTTTCTGCCTCACTTGCGTCGGCAGACCTCTGTTGAAAATTGCCGGATGAACAGCTGTTTAAATGTAATGAATTCCATGATACCACATCTAGAATGGCATTTTTTTCTTTCAATCTCGTAGACTTTGTACAATAAATTAGCCAGTCATAAATTAATTGCGAATCACGTACAAATGAGTAGGAACTCTTCGCTGGTTTTGGGGGTTGGAGAGGAAATCCAGTTAAATTCATTGGTATCACCAGAACTCATAATGCGAATCGTCTATGTCCGTTGTCGTAATCAGAAGTGACTCGGAAATTGATGGAGCAGGAAATTTTGTGCTGGCGGTAAAATGCCTCCGACGGTTAAAAACCTCTGCCTCCGTGAAAGCCTCCTTGAGGTATTTGGTGGTTATTGTGAGTCTCGGTTAAATCAATTCACAATCTCATAGTGTCAGATCCGAACGTCGTTCGGAGTGCATCGAAAAATCGATGCACAATGTGATTGTAAAATCGCCATGATAAAAGTTTCCCACGGTAATTGAAACGTCAGCTTATTTTCACCCGTACCGACATCGCTGAGTTCTCACCATTCCAAGTTATATTGTCACAATCTGTTTACGGCCTTTTCCATTCGTGCTGGAATAGCGAGCAAACTGGCGCTTGTAGACCGTCGAAGATTTCAGCTCTGACCGCAGCGTGCACATGAGCTCTGATTGATGAAAATATACGGATTCCAAACCATTCCATAGGCCCTATAATACGCGTTTTTCTCAAAGTCAAGTGAAGCCAAGGAATCGCTTTATAAACATGGAAAGATGGATATACAGTAACCATATAATCACAAAGTGTTAACAAAAAGTAAAAAATATTTTAGTATAACAATTAAAATACTTGAAAACGGACAGCAACATCGGAAACCAACGGCTTACTCGGGTGTTTATGATTGGTTTAGTTTTTCGTGCTGCGCAGAGTACTTGCAACGAGTTCATGGTTTATTAGAAACCTGGCGAGAGATGGGATAATAGAGCGCCTGTGAGCTTCAGTGCGTATCTTTTTAAGGCTGTGAGTAGAACGGGTGGATGAGTGAGAAAAGCGCTGACTAAGGGTGGAATAAAGATAATGGGAAATATCAGATAAAATCTTGTTGGAAAATGTTTTACAGGACTAGAGGTGGTGTGTGACCACATACTGTACCAGATTTTCCCGTGGTATGAGACTTCAAACGGACAGACACTTGAGGGTTCGGGAAATGAGTTTGAGGTCCTTGTTAAAAAGACCAAGGAAGATAACAGGGGATCCATAAAGAAAGTATAAACGCACCTGGTGTTATGGATAATAGGACACAGTGCGCCGCAAACGCCCCCTAAAGAGACGGATCAATTGTTTCCAATGGGAGCGGTTCCCTTAAACTCCGCGTTTTGGAATAACTTTAGCAAAATGGTGATCTTACATACCTATTTTGGCCTAATTCGCCAGGTGTGACCTACCTGTGTTCTGGTATTTTCACCATTTGAGCAGCCGAGAGCTCCGCTCAGTGAAAGCTTGTGGTAGCCTATGGTTTCCAGAATCCAACCGCCGGCTGGATACCTTGAAATGTTTAGGATAGATTGTGACAAGCTGAAAGAGTTGTGAGCAGCCAAAGACTGTTGCAGAAAATTCGGGATGAGATGGCCCGAGTCGGTTGTTATCTCACAGGTAACAAAAGGTAATTTCGAAACTTTGGCGAATTGATCACTTTGGTAGAGCACTTACCGTTAGAGACAGAGTTTATTCACAAGTTTCGAACTGACATCTGTCCAGTCCACACAACTTACGATGCAAAACGGTCTTATTTGATCTTATCTAACTGAGCGAACTCTATTGTAAACACAACTATCGAACTCCTTTTCACACGAAACTATTTTGACCATGAGCGTTTCTCCTGGTCCCAGCGACACTTCGCAAACGTTGACTACCGAATAGACAGGAAAACTGGGCAACTCCGTTTCGTACAAAATGGACATATGAAATTACAGCCAAAACTATTTTCTTACATCCGTTATCCAAGCCTAGAGGTCATGGTTATAACGTGATCGTAACATGGTGAAGTGTCCACAAAGGATTGCCAGCGAGATGCTCAAGGGATTGCATTGCGGCACTTACGAGTAGAGATTATAATCAATACCACGCATAACCTATCGGGGCCTTATGTGGTTTGCCATCCCAAGTCTCGAGGCTTAGGTTTGCATGACGGAGCAGCAGGTTTTCGTGACTATGAGGTTCACCTCGTCTGCTGTTCATCACAATTAGGTGTAATAAAAAATTTGGGTCTATGTACCACTGGGCACTGCCGAATTCGACGAAATTGATTTTGGTGTATAAAAAGTTGCAGAACCCAAACCATCCGCGTCAGCCGCTGCTCACGTTGTCGCCCCGCATACACCTCAGTGGACATCGTCCTAACTTCGTGATTTCAAAGTGTACTCTGGAATGCCAGCGTTATTCGTTTGCAGTCAGAGGGTGCACCACTTGGAACACCCTTTCATCTCACGTAGTCTGTACGCCAACTGTTGAATTATTCAATCAGAGACTTGACGAAACCTTGACACATATCATATGCTTACATAACTAAAAACGAGAATTAGTTGAAGATAAAAAATTATGCGTTATTTCCCACCCAGAACTATATATGACATTTATCATTTTTTCCCCAGAGGTGATTCAATTGCGTAGTTATCCTATGGGGAAAAGAGAAGCATTAGATTGCAAGTAATTTGTCTGATGAAAATTTGATTTTGGAAATTTGGGGTTTTATCAACTGCCCTTAAAATACTCGTCCCGGCTGTTGGACGCGATAACATTTGAAGTTAAAACATTATTTAGAATATATATATATGATATATATGATATATATGATATATATATATATATATATATGATCAGCTGCCTAGTGGTCGAGTGCGTAGCATGCTTGCGTTCTGACTGTGAGGTCCGGAGTTCGATCCTCCAGATGGGTCGATGGTCGATGAATTCGCACTGCTGATGGGAACCCACCTGGTCGAAACAGCTGTCCAGTGCTTCCTGACTTTTCAAATCACGCTTAATTTGTTATGTACAAAACGAGTAATTTCTCCTTTGAAATAGAACCAAATCACCCGATACTCACTCGTGGAATATCAGAAGTGTTTGTGTGTGTGTCTGTGCGCGCAATGATTATTGATTCAGAACTGACCGGAAGACAAATAAATTGCAGTGATTACAGTAGAGTGCACTCCATCCGGCATGGTGATGCATACACAAACACACACAATTTCCGTGTACCTGTGTCTGGACACATCAATGTACACAGCGTGGGATTCAGAAATAGCCTCGTGGAACATTCCTGTACTCAGTTCAGTTCGGCAGAAACTCTGTCATCTTACCGAATATTTGCTCACTAAAAATGCAATACCACAGGGGCAATGATTGATTGCTTCGTTCAAAGTAGTTACCATTTTGAAAAACTTAGTGATTTATTTTGAATTTGGGATGAGAACATTGTGATATCTCAGTTGATAAACGTGTAACGAGCAATATTTTACATTTAACAGGTAGTNCAGGTAGTACTTATAGTTTCTGGATGTTATAAACAACGGCATCAGTGCATTTATTTACATGGTTTAAAATACCTAATGTTGTGAGGTATTACTCAATTGTGAGTAGTAGGTAACATAGTTGTTGATCTATTTCGACAGTCAAAAATTAACAAGATCACCGAGGGCAAATTGCTGTATCTGAAAGAATAACTATCGATTTCTACATTCATTATCTGTCGTGTGGCCAGGAACTGCCATGGTATGTTTCTAATGAAATTTTCGTGTTATATATCCCAAATTGGTGATTTCTCATCTGAAATCCTCAATTAATGACTACCTCTCAACCGAGCACCGCCTTGTGGAATTATAACAATAATACCAACATTTTGTTTGGTTTATGATTGTATAAAATTCATTTTCATGGTTTTTTATTATTACGGGTGTTGATAGATAATATCCAAAACCAGTATACTTACTAAATACTGATATAAAAGCCTTTGATGAATAAACCAAACATATGAGCAGTTTATTGGGTGACAGCAAGTCGCACTTTTACCCAAACTATCGGGGCTAACAGAATAGAAATTGTATAAACTCACAAGGATCAGTTGATAAGTGTCTTCGATTGCGGTAATTCTGTTGTGTCTATCTATGGTTAACCCGGTGCATGGAGTCTTTGCACCGTTCACAAATTTCAATAGCTCGTATGAATGTGAGCGTATTTGTTCCGAGGGTAAGTAGAATCTAACAACGAACTGAAATCAACCATCGATGTGTCTGGTTCATCACCTACACTAGTTGGAACACTTGAACGTGAGAAATTCCCATGTCCTGCCAGAAGCAAGCAGATTGGTCTCCGCGAAAATATCTATATAAAAATATAAATGTGCAATGCGCGAGGCAGAACACCAGAGTGAATTGCATTGTTCGCTTTGAGCTCATCCATCGACTGTCATGCGGATCGTTGTGTTACTGTTGTGCGCGTTGCACTTGTGTATCGGTCACCCAATTGGTGTTTTTGACGCATCGGTGCTCGGTGCAGGAAAGCGTGGTATTCTCGGTTCGGCCGTGAAAAACATTGGAGGGACATTGCTCCGAGGAGTGGCCAGTGGTTTTATGTATCCTCCGATGGGAATGAGTCCATTCAGTCCGTTCGCTATGAATCCTTGGATGTCGGGTCAATCTTTCATGGGCGGAATGTACGGAGGATTCAATCCGATGTCTATGGGATCGGGCATGGGATACAATCCAATGTCTATGGGGATGGGTGGAATGGGTGGAATGGGATTTGGGTACAATCCAATGTCCATGGGAATGGGCGCAATGGGCGGAATGGGCGGAATGGGTGGAATGAATTTCATGAACAATCCAATGTCCATGGGAATGGACCCAATGATGGGATATGGTTATTGGTGATTCTGCGGATCCACTGCCAAAAGCTGAATTTTTCCGCACAGATTGTTTATAAACGAAAAATGCACATTAATTAATCCCTAATCACCGTCATTATTATTATCATCATCATCATTTTGAAAAGGTGTTTTAATTGTGTATTCGAACCCAATCTGAAATGTGAAGTCAATGAAATAAGTTATCAAAACAAGTTCATTTTGTTCTTCTTTGCATCCCCCGGGGACAGTGAGTGTCAAACCTACGTGATTTAACGAGAGACAGACAAACAGACAGACAGACAGACAGACAGACAGAGGGCCGTTGCAACTGTATTGCTTTCTATGGGGTCCAACGACCCAGAATAATACAACACACTGTTCAGTATGATCCACAAAGTCGACCGGAATGACTGACCACTGCTAGTAGTAGTTAGATTTTGTGTTACTCTTAGATTCGCGAGCTAATTTTGGACTCGTCATTCACAATGAGTGGCGTATCAACTGATCACATTCCAATGAAACGAGAAAATATTTTACACCCCTTCCCTCTGAAAAAAAAGAAAAGTGCTTTGGTCCAGCGTTGTTGATCCTACTCATACATTTTGCCTTGTGCGTGATTTAATCGGACCTCATCGTTGTTCGGTTAACTTTCCACTGTTTATGAAAAATTCCCATCTGGACATGGAGAGAAAACACAGTGGTTTTAGCGAACACGCTCATTTTTGACAACTTTTTCTTCGGGTTAATACAGTTATATAGTTAAATTTAAATTTAAATGTGCTTCTATGTGATTCGTGGTTTGTGATTGTTTTTGGTGTGTGATTGGGAAATGGTGGATAGAGAGAATGTGTTCATAACACGATCGGGAAAACGATTAGGATGTGGACGTGTCATCACGTGTTAGGTTCGCGGAATCATGGGAAAGATCATGTCTATTTCGGGGAGGGGGACGGTGTCACGTTGTGGTCAAGGCAGTCTGAGTGATTTTAGGAATCGTTTTTAAGAACAAAGCGATAGGTTTATTAATCGAGTAGCCACGGCTTAGGCTGCTACTACGAGACGACTTTGACGGGTGGCTTTCGAAGGGTTCGGTGGTACCCTGTAAATGAATTTGCTCGCACGACAGTGTTGGTCAAGAATTAGAACAAATCGAGAAAATCTTACTGCATGATGGTTATCCGAAGCGTTTCATTGAAAATAACTCATTGGAGAAAAATCAAAGTGAGCAAATAATAATGGTAGGAGAAAAGAGCTATATATATATA